CTTTTTATCGTCAGAATGAGTAGAACATGGAGTCTCTTTAACTTAGTTTTTTTATAATGGTAGTGTCATCAGAAATACACTCCTTTTACATCTCTACCCAGTAGGAGTTATAATTTAGTTTAAATAGGGGAGACCAGGGCTAGTTGCACATAAGAAAGTTTTCATAAGTGATACACTACTATTCAAAGCATGGGGTTTTGATAGAAAAGAATACTTTTTTTTTCAGCAAGGAGACATTAAATTGATCAAATGAGACGGTAAAGACATTTGCAGTTGTACAAAAGATTTCTCAAATAAATAATTTTCTTTTGAACTTTCTATTCATCAAACAATCCTGAAAAAAGAATCTGTTTCTAAAAAAACAAAACAAAATTAAGCATAACAAATGTTTTCAACATTGCTAATAATAAATGTTTCTTGAGCAGCAAATAAGCATATTAGAATGGTTTACATTTTATTTTAATCAAACTTTTGAACTGTAATGTCTCACGTCTCATTAACTATAACATTTTGAGTCAGTTGTCCAAGTAAGCAAATGCCTGTGTTATCTAGCAGTGGTTTTGTATGTGGATTTCTTATAATAGGTTTATAATATAAATATATATTATAATTATTATAATATTTTAACTATATATTATGTATTATGTACTATATATTATACTATACAATATTTTTTGGCAAGTTGTCACAGTATATGTGGTAAACTGCCACAATGCAAGCTGAAAAACCTATTATAAGCTTTATTATATCATAATATATTATAATATAATAAAGCGTATAATAGGTTTTTCAGCTTGCATTGTGGCAGTTTACCACATATACTGTGACAACTTGCCAAAAAATATTGTCACAAAAGATCCATGTGTGTATATGTGCAATATAAGTGGAAATGCTTTTTTATAGTTAAGATGTCTATAAATTAAAAAAAACTAACCTTAGAAATATTGACTAGAGTAAAACCTCTGACAACTAGCCGTACTATAGATCATTTGATACAATATTTTTTGGCAAGTTGTCACAGTATATGTGGTAAACTGCCACAATGCAAGCTGAAAAACCTATTATAAGCTTTATTATATCATAATATATTATAATATAATAAAGCGTATAATAGGTTTTTCAGCTTGCATTGTGGCAGTTTACCATACTGTGACACAAAATTAAGCATAACAAATGTTTTCAACATTGCTAATAATAAATGTTTCTTGAGCAGCAAATAAGCATATTAGAATGGTTTACATTTTATTTTAATCAAACTTTTGAACTGTAATGTCTCACGTCTCATTAACTATAACATTTTGAGTCAGTTGTCCAAGTAAGCAAATGCCTGTGTTATCTAGCAGTGGTTTTGTATGTGGATTTCTTATAATAGGTTTATAATATAAATATATATTATAATTATTATAATATTTTAACTATATATTATGTATTATGTACTATATATTATACTATACAATATTTTTTGGCAAGTTGTCACAGTATATGTGGTAAACTGCCACAATGCAAGCTGAAAAACCTATTATACGCTTTATTATATTATAATATATTATGATATAATAAAGCTTATAATAGGTTTTTCAGCTTGCATTGTGGCAGTTTACCACATATACTGTGACAACTTGCCAAAAAATATTGTCACAAAAGATCCATGTGTGTATATGTGCAATATAAGTGGAAATGCTTTTTTATAGTTAAGATGTCTATAAATTAAAAAAAACTAACCTTAGAAATATTGACTAGAGTAAAACCTCTGACAACTAGCCCCAGTCTCCCCTACAACTAAGATATATTTTGTATTAAACCAACATTGATTTATGTACATATAGCCCAAGCATCAGAGGTTTTAGCTAATTAACTAACTTTTTTTATTTTTCTAGCTGTTTCGTCGTGTTGCTGCTGCTTTGCCTGGAATGGATAGTACACCAGAGAAAAGCAAAGAGGACAGTATCCTTCACATGCACCGTAAAAGGCTTCTGACAAATATGACATCACTCACATTCAAATGTCAGAATCAGTTTGTCCACATCAGCCTGATAGCAGGAGATCACAAGCCAGGGCTTTTTTCTTTTTTTTCATGAATTAAACCATAACAGGAATCAAAAAATGACATCTAACAGAAATGAATGTAAGGTAATCCAAGGGTAAAGACATACTTCTACAAATTCACATGATCTAGTCACTAACTGATCCTTAACCTGAACTTTCAGTGATCGACATCAAACTGGAGAAGCCTCCGGAGCTGCCCGTTACCGAGAGCAGCTGCTCGTGCTAGTAACCACCCTCATCCCCCTCACACGACCCCCTCACACACAAACAGCTTGCCTCTCAGTGGTCACTCGCTCCTCTCACGTTCCTCGTGTCATGAGCGGAGAACCTTTTCTTTCTCTTCGACTCAGTGACTTTTCAGAGTAACCATGTGGATGTGCTATTACTCTGTATTAAAATGGATTCCAAAAATACATATATTAATGGGGAAAAAAGTAAAATCACAGCATAGATTAAATGCTAAAACCGTTCAGATTCTCATCTGTTGTGGCTGCATGGCATTATATGGGATTGCAGACTGATATACACTCACATGCTCTTGAGTTTGTGTTTGAGTTGAGTTCATAATTGTTGTGAAGTTACCATGTTTCAGAGCTGGGGCTGATGTCATCATTTTAAGTCTTTTTTTAATTTCACTGGAGGAAGAGCTTGACATTAATTGTATTGAGAGGCTGTAGTCTTGTGTTACTGATTCATATGATTTTTTTTACATTACACACTTTTGTTAGTTTTTTTTTTTTTTTGGCAGAAGTTATTTAAAGAAAGATACAGAAGGGATCTCTTTTGAAATTGTTGTGAAATATCATGGACACAATGTTCTGTATAATTGGATGTTTCCATGTTAAATTTGGTATTTGGGACCAGATATCATTTTAAGGTCTTTTTGTTTCAGGAAATACACATGTATGGCCAAAAAATTAGTTTGGTTTTGTTTGTGACAATCCTCATTCTTGGACAGGCCAATTTTATACAGGAATTTTCGGAGGGTTGCATGGATGTAGAATGTATTGAGCTGTGGGGAAAAAAATAGGATTTAATGTTCTTAGAAAAGGGAAATTGCTTTGTAAAGATATTTAATTTCGTTAAAACTCAAAACCGAAGATATTTAATGACTTATACACGACTGTAGTTACAAAACCTAACGTTAATTGTAAAAACATGTATGTACTAACCAAACTATCGTAACACGTCGATCTGACCTTGGATATGGAAAGCAATTCACACTAATTCCACTCATTTTCTGCCTTATTTTTGCTGCGCAAGTGTAGGAACAGCATGCAGTTTAGAGACGGTTTAACACAAAATGCCTTGCTTGTTTTGTTGTCATAGTGCACCAGTTCAGGCCACAGCGCTGTGGTTTGCTCGAGCCTATTAACGTTGCATAGAGCTAATGAGGTTTTGTTAAATGGGATATTTAGATTTCTTCCTTCAACACGGCTATTGATTAGTGTACAGACACGTCTTGGTATTGCTCGTCGTAAGACTGTTGGTTTCATGTGTTTATTTATTATCTCACTAGTTAGTGAAACAGTGTGTTGTATGCTTGACTGGAATGGCAGTTAGCAATGTGTGGGAATCAAAGGTTGATGTTTGCATCGCTGCCTTGCTGCTGTATCACAAAGACCTAGTCGTGTCACAGTCTTGGTCACATTAAAGACTGTCATGCCCCATCTGTAATGCTGGGTTTCAACAGTTTAACTCAAATGGGCTTTTATTTGCTGGAGAGGCATCACCGAACCTCCCAGCGCTGTCGCTTTTCCTCTCATTCAACTGTAAACAGACAAATCCTTTCATCCCTAAGTCTAAAAAAGGGCATACAGTGTGTTTGAAACATTAACATTTAATATGGTTTTATATGTAAGAATTAAAATAAAAAAGAGTGAAAACCCTCCTCAGCTCTGTCACTTGTCACTGACTGAATACTCGGCTGTGTGCTATTCTGAAGTGTGTTGGTTTGTTTGAAATACGCTGTCTACTAGTGTTTAGCAAAGTTTGTGTGAACAAAATACTATTATTATATGCTGTAAAAAAAAAAAAAAAGTAAGGTTAAAGAGACACCAAAATGTATCACATGAATAAAGATATTTCACCAAATTTGCTGTTTGCCCTGCTTCTGGTTTTTGTATGTAGGCCTATATACATAAAGTGTTAGATAGTAATAATGGACTACATTGATATATTATGTAGTTAAGATTACACAATCATTACAGATAGTAAATTTCATTACATGTTCATCACGTTACTTAACCTATATGCAGTGGCAACACATTTTTAATTGACTGATTGAGCCCCTGTGTTTTACAATACATTAAAGATGCATCTTGCCTTATAAATATTGATATATTACTGGTATAATATCCACAAAAACAAAATAAATAATAATAAAATAAAAAACTATGACGAGAGGAGTCTTGATGCACTTTTTAACATTTGATTTTCATCAAAAAACAAAAAGTTGGTGTCTGAATGTTTAGTTTTATGCAATATGTTCCTCTTTACGCTTTTTGTATTTTTAAAATGAAATATAATTATTAAATAAAAGTTTATTTATAATAAATGTGTCTGTGTGTATATTATAAACTTTTATATATATTAAAAAATATATAAAAACTTTAATGTATATAGAAAAGTATAAAGTATACTGCAATATGCAAAAGGTTAAATAATGGTTTACGGTTTGTAGACTATTTGGCCCTTTTATTAAAATTAACGTTTTTAATAAACTGAATACGTTTTTAAACTCTCAAGTTCTGTTTGGCCCTCTGTTGGTACCATATAGTCCATTCAGTTTCTTACTGCTCGAGCCGGTTGAATGATGTTGCCGGTGATTTGAAGGGTTTCGGTTGGTGAACACAAGGCGGAGTTCACAGCTCGTCTTAGCGGTTCCTTTATGAATTAATCATGCTAATCAGTGGAGCAGTAGAGACCACTGGACCTGGACCTGAACCTGAACGACCAATCAATACGGGCGGTCCGACACACCCAGTTTGTGCCAGATTTTCAACAGTCTTACTTGAGAACATAAAAGCCTGTGAATATAAATCAGGATCATGTCAGTGTGCTAAATCACTGTGGTTCAGTGCTGATTGACTAGCTGCGCACCTTGCAGTGTTGTAATACACCTGTTCTACTCCCGGAAGTGGTGACGAGATTTTTCCACGCGCAAGAGCTGACGCCAGGTAAGGAATTTGTGAGAAAAATCTTGTCGAGCTTGAATGGTTAATCTGTGACTATAATAGTTTACACCTCATCCTTTGCGAACAAAGATACTTAGTCTTGATAGAAGCAAGTTCCCTCAAACGCATCTTGTTTGGGAAGATTGTATTTCTCGCAGTGTTTTTGATCGGTGAATCTGTTGTTTCAGGTATGTCTCGCGGTACGGGAATAGTTCCAGATGAATCCATGTTTAATGAATTCAAAAGACAATGCTTGTCCACGGAGAATTGGCTCAGTAAATATGATAAAAATGACATGGAGGTCTGGGTCGAGGTGGCCCCTTTATCAGCTTCTACAAACAACAAAGGGAACTTCTCCAAAGTGCACAAAATCAAGGTAAGATGTTTGCCTGCATCTAACTGTTTATGATTTCGTGTGCTTTATAAAAATGTTATAACTTTTGTTAGGAACATTAATATTACTACATCATAACATGTTTAATGGGTCAATGGCTATACATGATTTAATAGTAGTTATGAAAATGTGTGGGTGTGGTTATATATGATTTATTTATTTGTATGTTTATTCGTTTTGCATATATTTTCTATGGACCCCCACAATATCTTTACATTTCCCCTCTTATTTAATTTACATGACCAGTCCTGTGTGTACTGCTGCCATAACAACACTAACGCAAATGCATTGTTTCCAATGCAGTGTAGAATGAACATAAAGGATGTATCAGCTGCCACCATGTTTGACGTGCTTCATGACAGCATGTACCGGAAGACATGGGACCCTACAATGCTTGAGAGTTTTGACATCGCTCGTCTGGCTCCTAATGCTGATGTGGGCTACTATTCATGTGAGTCATGTAACCTTTTAAATTTGTATCCGTTATTGAGATTGATTTCTTATCTTACGGTCATTCTAGTTGATCTTTTGGGATTTTGTTAGTCTCAGTGGTAGTCACCTAACACTGTTAGTAACATGTTGAAAAGAGTTCAGCACAGTGGCTTATTGCAGTGCAGTAAAGAACTGAAAAAAAGCCTCCTGGGACCATGTTTTTGTGTGTATTTATAGTCAACATTATTGTCAGTTTGGTTCCTCTTTTTATGTTGTTGCTGTTTATGGTCCTACAGGTCATAAAACGAAAAAAACAAACAAAAAAAAAACTTTTTTTTTTATTCTTTATTCACAGGGCTCTGCCCGAACCCATTGAAGAACAGAGATGTGGTGACCCTGCGCTCATGGCAGGCATCTGAAAATGAGTATGTGATCATTAACTTCTCAGTGAAACATCCGGTACGTATTTTATTTACTTACGCCTTCTGTTATCATACGTTTTGTGTTACGTACATTGATTTATAGAGCTAGTGGACTGGCTAGTGAAATATCAGAGTTACTTAAAGGTAAAATGTCATCTGCTCCACTAGTGGTGCCAAAACAATTGCAAAAATAATGACTGTTTTCGAACAAGTTTGCATCCATCCAAACTCAAATCAGTCTTTTTACCCCATCACATATTTTAGTAATCATCATAAATTATATATCATTTGAAAGCTTAAAACCTCAAAATTGAATTGTGAAAACTATTTTGAAATCGGACATTGCTTTACCATGGACTTTAAATCTTTTGGCGGTCTCCTCCCCCTTAGCAGGCGGGATCAAATGTCATATTACAAAATGTATTACGGTCTTTTAGAATCTCAACTTTTCATAATCTTGACAAAATACATATCGTTGGAAAGGTCTGATTCTGATATTCTGATAGAAGTAAAATTGACAGAGAAATTTAGACATTTGTGACAGAAAAATGCATCAAAAAAATTCAGTGGAGTTTGGGTGTCACCTGGTGGCTGTTTGTGGTATAACACCCTAAATAAAACATTTTTTTATTTCAACTTCAAATTTGGAACATAACTTATTTAGACATAAGGATTTAATTTTATAGCAATTTTAGAGTAAAACCTGTTATGAACATTTTTTATTTTATATAAAATAAAAAAATAGTACAGTGCATTTTCTTTAAAGTAAATTTAAACTTCTATAACGTTTTTATACTTTCATATTTTGACATAATTCCACTTCTGCAATAATTTGGCGATTTGTCTTCTTTAAAAAGAGTCCAACCTTAGGTCTGTATTCAGAAGCGTTCATGAATTATAACAATTTAAGTTTGCATAGTGCACTCTCACGTCTATGTTCAGAAATGGGAGGGGGTGACAGTAAAAGGGTTAATACATGCATTTAAAAATTTAAAATATATTTTAATAAAGTCTTGCTATCATTTTAGAAATTTCCCCCACGGAAGGATCTGGTAAGGGCCGTTTCCTTTCTGACAGGTTACCTGATCAGACCAACAGGGCCCAACAGCTGCATTTTCACGTACCTCTCACAAGCTGATCCCAGAGGTATGAACAGATTCCCTGCTTCGTTTGAAATGTTCACCCATCATTTATTTACATTGTAAGACTTTAATTTGTTGCTGTTTTGAATGATTTTTTTAATCTTTTAGGGTCTCTTCCAAAGTGGGTTGTCAGCAAAGCATCTCAGGTCCTGGCTCCAAAAGTAAGTAAACATATTTCGTCTCTTACTATTGTTTCTGTAGATGTACTCTTTGAGGATGCGAGTGTTTTTCTATGTAGGACTGTGTTTAAGGCTTGTGAAAGCACAATTGTTACCATGGAAACCTACTGGAAGAACTTGTACTGAAGACGCTCACGCAGCACTTACTGTGCCAAAGTGAAACTTGTTTATCTTGTTCTGTCTGTAGGCTGCATGACTACATTCATTCTTTTTATTTACAAAAGAGAGTGTCGCTTAGGCTCCTATTAAATACAAATCTCTTTTCTTTATTAATCATTCATGATAATCACTGACACGGCAAGCAGTGGCATTTACACTTGTTAACGCTTTTTAATAATTCTTCAGCCCTCATTGAGTGTTCAGATTGTTATCCAAAGATAACTATGATGTAGATGTTCTTCTAATTAAGAACAGGAGCTCAGTATGACATTGCATTGTGGCTTTTTTTTTTGTTGTCCATTTCATAGTCTTGTGAATTATTACTGCATATGGTAGGGCTGTTTGCAGTGTTCCCAGACAGTATCTCTGTCCAAAGGGCACTGATAATGTGGACTGTACCTCACGCTTGGTGTTTATAAACTGTTATTGAACACTGAGGTGTTTGTCTTTCCATTGACCATTAATCAGGGGCCTGTACCATGAAGCCGGATTAGCTGGTTAGCCAGGTAAGTTTCAGTTTAGTTTGCACCAATCGTGGGTTTTTAAGGTACCTTGAAAGTGGCTTGGCTTTTAGCGGCGTTCATTGCCATAGTAGCTTACAATCCACAGCTAACCTGCTCCAGGGCAGGTTTTCTGCTGCTGATTGGGCTGACATTTTTGACACACCCACCAAACAAGAGAAAACGTATCTCAAACCCTGTTGCACACCGTTTCCAGGAAACATGTCGTTCAACCCGGAAACCGTAGCAAAATGGTGCACACCGGTTTGAGCTTGAACTTGCCTCAGGTTATGTTCTGAGTAAGAGATCAAACTGAAATTGGACCAATCAGCTGTGAGCAAAGTGACATGTGTGACACAGAAAAGTCACTCCCCCAGTTTCTCTTCCTCCAAATTAAAGGTCACTATATAGTAAAAAAAAAAAAAAGATAATTACTTAGAATTATTTAATATGATTTATGTAATTATTATATGATTTAAATTATTATTAATCCGTTACACACAAGCAATTTTAATTTAACAATTATTATAAAACATTTATTTTAAATGAATATTCATATATACAGATCATATGTAATATAAATAAATAAATAAGCTGTAGAATCAATAGATAATGCTTTAAAAATGACTACATGTGACTTTACATGTTCGAGTCTCTATCACTATATATTATCAACTATATAAATTAACTTCACAAGTTCCGCTTGTGACTGCACTGATAGAGCGAGATAATTTCTTTTATTTATCCTCTTTTCATGGACAAGTACTTTCTTCAATGTTAATGCGTTTAAATTCCTCATATTCTTCAATCTCTTAACCTTTAGCAAAAGAGCGTTGAATCTCGCTGGCTCTCTCGTGAGAAGTAAATCACACTTGCTCTGTGTTGCAAGGCATGTGATTGGTTATTCGCCACTGATGTCAAACATTCATGCGCACGCGCTCCACAAACTCAGGATCAAAGCCTGAGTTGACAAAGAAAGCTGATGATCAGCATCATGGTACCAACAAAGCTGGATTGGAGTGGTTTGGTTTTGTCAACTCGAAACTAATGCTGTAACTCAGAATTTGTTCAACTACCATCATGGTACAGGCCCCAAGTGTTAAGATTTTATTCATAAGTGTATATATACACTTTCATTCAAAAATGTTTTTGAAAAACGTCTCTCATGCTTACCGAGGTTGCACTTATTTGATCAAAAATACAGTAAAAAAGTAATACTGTGAAATGTTATTACAATTTAAATAAACTGTTTTCTGTTTTCATAGAATATATTTTAAAATTTAATTTATTCCTTTAATTGCAAAGCTGGATTTTCATCATCATTACTCCAGTCTTTAGTGTCATGTGATCCTTCAGAAATCATTCTAATATGATATTTGCTGCTCAAGAAACATTTATTATTATTATCAGTGTTGAAAATGTTGTGCTGCATAATATTTCTGTGGAAACCGTGATACATTTTTTTCAGGATTTTTTAATAGAAAGTTCAATAGAAAAGCATTTATTTGAAATACAATTTTATTTATTTAATTTATTTGTGGATTAAGTGGATTGTTTGTTGTCTAGTAATACTGTTGTATTAAAACAAAACATAAAAACAGACTCATTAACTTTAGTTCAGAAGTCAGACTTTATAGGCAGTATTTCGCACTGTGATGCATTGTGCTGCCCAAAATTCTGAAGACCCAGACAGAAACCAGAAACACTGTTTATTTATAGCTAGGCTTGAGAAAAAAGACTTGCTGCAATTTGAGTCACTGCACAGCTTGAAAATGAAGTAAAACTGGATTCCATTTCATTGTCTGGGTTACACGAGAATGAAAAAACAAAGTTCAGTGCCGCTTCCGCTGATACTAGTACCACTCCCTCATTCTCTTGTGTCATTCCACAGGTCTTAAGAAGCGTCCATAAAGCCGGTCAGAACTACCCTGCGTGGAAAGCAGCAAATTCTCCAGATCATAAGCCGTGGCTGTACCCCATACAGAGTGAACTGCCCATGATGGATCCAGCAGAGCTGTCCATCCAGCGTGGAGACTCGCTGGAGAACGTGGATGAGAGCTTGACCAAGGATGCTCAAGAGAATGAGGACAGTAGCTAAAATGGTTCAAAAAAAGGTTGACATAAATGGACAGTCTTTAACTCTGGTCTGTGTGACAGGGTCAGTCCAGTTACCTCTCACCCTACTTATAGCTCGCTGATGCCAACATTCCTTCTTCACGCTCACAGAGTAAGTGTTTACAATCACTGGTGCACAGATCTGCACATTCCATTATCCATGTCTTGAGTTGCTTAGGGCATCGCATGTGCGATAGTGGTGCTTACTTGAACAAAAAAAATATTATGCAGTTCTGCATCTTAATTTAATTTAAAACCCTTTTGAAGGTGGATCTTTTTTGCGTCTTTAATTTATTACTAAATGATTTTGATAAAGCTACACCTACAAGCTGTTGTTTATTTCTTTATAATAAGCATAGTTAAACATTTAATCCTTGTTTTAAGTCTCCATGGTAGGGGAGAGGTTCCTCTCAATGTCATCCTTTTGTGTTTGTGTATTTATGTCTGTGTGCCATTTCAAAGAAGTGTGTCTGTATTGGCGTGTGTGAAAATGATTGACACCAAGCAACCATAGGAGAAAACCTGTGTTAAAGGCCCTGTAATACGACCAAAGCAGTCCAAGACACAATGTGGTATTACCTCAAGATTTATTACTTGAAGTGGTATTAGTTCATTTGCCTGTAACAGGCAGAAGAAATCAGAAGGCAGAGGAATGTTATGATAGCGCTTTTCTGTACTTCTGTTGTGTGCCCTTGAACATGAAAGAAAATGACGTTAGCAATAACATGATAACAGTGGATCAAAGTTACCCATATTTTTGATGTTTTTCTTTCTGAGGAAGGATGGATATGTAAATTTGTGTTTGATAACTTGAATTGTATGTATATGAAGTCCTAACTCACTGAAGGGTAATATGGTTTTATACTTTAACATTTTTAAATAAATTATGTTCAAAATGCCTTTGAAAACTCCTAATAAGAACGTTGCATCTTTTAGTGTGTTTATTAATGGCACTGCACAATACTAGTTTACACGATCATGGCATAATACCTGGTATTTGCATATAAACAGCCATCTGTTCCACTGAGCTCCAATAACAGCAGAAGCTACATTTGAATTTTGTGTAATGAAATTATGTGATTCGACGAATTAGCTCAATGTTAAAGGAATAGTTCACCCAAAAATGAAAATTTGCTGAAAATGTACCCTCTGCCCATCCAAGATGTAGATGTGTTTGTTTCCTCATCAGAACAGATTTGGATAAATTTAGCATTACATCACTTGCGGTGAGCAAGTGGATCCTCTGCAGTGAATAGGTGCCGCCAGAATGAGAGTCCAAACAGCTGATAAAAACATTAGAATAATCCATGAGTAACCAACACTACTCCAGTCCATCTATGAACATCTTGTTAAGTGAAAAGCTGTGTGTTTGATAGAAACAAATCCAGCATGAAGACATTTTTGGATTTTGATGTGAGAGGACAACAGAGGATGGGCTTTTTGAGTGGAGGAAGCGCTATTAAGGATAATGGATGTATTTGGGCTAGAAGCAACGGTTTGAAGTTTAAACGTTTTAATAATGGATTTGTTTCTTATAAACAGGCAGCTCACTTTACAAGACAATAATTGAGTCGTGTGGATTACTTGTGGATTATTGTGATGTTTTTATCAGCTTTGAACTCTCATTCTGATGGCACCCATTGAACTGAATTGAATACTTTATTGTCATTGTACAATGTTTGTACAACAAAATTCAAAGTTCACTGCAGGGGATCCATTGGTGAGCAAGTCATGTTATGCTAACTTAACCAAATCTATTCTGATGAAGAAACAAACTCATCAACATCTTGAATTTTCATTTGTGGGTGAACTATTCCTTTAATAGCTTTAATAATAACACTTAGTTTATATAGTACCTCTACTTAAAACAGTATATTAACAAAGCCACTCTACCTAACATCATAAATGTAAGTGTAACAATGTAACAAGATCTGAATATAATATTCCCTTCTGGCATTTCTCCCTCCCCACTTTATGAGACTTTTCATCATACAGATTTACTTTTAAAAATGAGCACAAAAAGTACTTTGCATGAGCATATTGATTTAATGACAATTAATTAGTCAGTAGCAATGTGTTTGTCAGCAGGGCATCAATCACTAAACAACTGCTTTGCTTTGGAATACAAAATTGAAATGCAATCACAAAAAAAGACCTAGTTAATAAAATAATATATGATATATTAAACATAAAATCAGCTTCATTTAACAAATGCCTCTAAGTGAAGATATCAATAGCAGATCATAATTTACTCATATTGTAACCGTCTATAGTAATTTCATTCAATAAACAACATATCTGCCATGTTTTCTTTTCATATGCATGACATACACTATATTGCCAAACGTTTTGGGACGTCTGCCTTTACATGCACTTGAACTTTAATGACATCCCATTCTTAATCCATAGGGTTTAATTTGGAGTTGGCCCACCTTTTGCAGCTATAACAGCTTCAACTCTTCTGGGAAGGCTTTCCACAAGGTTTAGGAACGTGTTTATGGGAATTTTCGACCACTCTTCTATAAGCGCATTTATGAGGTCAGGCACTGATGTTGGACAAGAAGGCCTGGCTCGCAGTCTCCGCTCTAATTCATCCCAAAGGTGTTCTATTGGGTTGAGGTCAGGACTCTGTGCAGGCCAGTCAAGTTCCTCCACACCAAACTCGCTCATCCATGTCTTTATAGAGTTTCACTGGAACTAAGGGGCCAAGCCCAACTCCTGAAAAACAACCCCACACCATAATCCACCCTCCACCAAACAATTACACCTGGCACAATGCAGTCGGGCAAGTACCGTTCTCCTGGCAACCGCCAAACCCAGACTCGTCCATCAGATTGCCAGACAGAGAAGTGCAATTTGTCACTCCAGAGAACTCGTCTCCACTGCTCTAGAGTCCAGTGGTAGCGTGCTTTACACCACTGCATCCGACACTTTGCATTGCACTTGGTGATGTAGGTTTGGATGCAGCTGCTCGGCCATGGAAAACCATTCCATGAAGCTCTCTACGCACCGTTCTTGAGCTAATCTGAAGGCCACACGAAATTTGGAGGTCTGTAGCTATTGACTCTGCAGAAAGTTGGCAACTTCTGTGCACTATGCGCCTCAGCATGCGCTGACCCCGCTCTGTCATTTTACGTGGCCTACCACTTCGTGGCTGAGTTGCTGTTGTTCCCAATTGCTTCCACTTTGTTATAATACCACTAACAGTTGACCGTGGAATATTTAGTAGTGAGGAAATTTCACTTTCACTGAAGAACACCTGAATTCAATGATTTGGAGGGGTGACCCAATACTTTTGGCAATATAGTGTATCTCATAGAATATGTTTATTTTCCCAGAGGAAAGGAAATGATGAGAAAACAGAGAAGAGGGGAAAGTATCTGAAAATTTCACCAGCTGCATTCAAAACTGGCACAGCTCAAAACCACCACTATGGGTGAAGAAGCTGTGAATCATCAGGCATGTCGTGAAGTGTTTGAAGATGATTTCTTTGAGCAGTCTCTTAGTCAGAGAAAATAGTTAGTGGGAGGAAGATGATGCAGGGCAGCTGAAGGTTTCGCTGGCACACCAACGTCTCATCAGCTGCGTCACTGCACCGGTTCAGTCATGAAGGTCAGCTCTGCCACCTAGTGTACAGTCCTCTCCTTCTGCCGCTGGTAGTCTAGAAAAACAGATGCACAACACATTTATGTCAGGTACTCTAACTGAATAAGTTAACTGAAATGCTCACTACTGCCACATTTGGTTTTCTAAATTGGGGTTTAAAAAACACTTAATATTCAGTAATATTATCAGATTATTAGATACTATTGGAAGAGAACAAAACTTGAAATGAGCTGGATTACACCATTGTCTTCAGTAGAGCTACTTTACAGCTGAATTGAATTTGTTTATGACATCAACAGTTACTGAATTGATTTGAATCCATATTGAACCGACTTGTGCTAAATAATGACAATAACTGTTAATAGCTGCTTATAGTGGAATTTTCATAATTGATGTTTCAGTTAAGTTCAATAACTGTAAATATCAACACTGAATACTTGAACACTACTGACACTTGTCATTTCAGAGATGCTTTACAGCAGAAATTAAATTTGTCTCATATTTGCAGTTCCCTGTTTATTACGGCAAAGCTGGTTTGAAATAATCTGTATTGCATAAAACACTTTATAAATAAAGGTGACTTGACTACAGTATCTGAAATAATCAACTATAGACCTAGAATAGAAAGAAATACACAACTTGACTAGAATATTATAAAATATATCACAATATAAAGGAATTCACTACATATTGAAACCATCATGTCTGATTTTTTTTTGTATCTCAAGGGAAGGATGAAAATAATACTCACTGTAAGGGAAGTATCGGACCTTCATCAAAATCTCTCTTGCAGTCTTTAAAATCTCCACAGCCTAGGAGAGAAATCAAGATCACACCAATACTATTTAGAAGACGAGACGTCCAGCATGTTTCTGCCTTTCAGACTGACATATCAGATCTTACCTTTGAATGCTCAATGTCTTGAAAGTCCACATCATTGACAGAAAGCACCTGATCACCCTCTTGCAGTCCTGCCCTATGGGCATCTGAATCTGGCACCACCTGTCAAAACATTTTGAGCACGGCCAATATGATGAAGTCAATTCTTTAGCCGAAAGATAAAGGTTTTAATCGGCAAAACTGACCTTTGAAATAAATATACCAAGCTGTGAGGCCTTTCCTCCACGGATATTGAAGCCCAGTTGTGCACCAGGGGGCTTTTGTAACACTATAGTGCGAGGTAGGAACTGAGTGAGCTCATTGTTGTAGTCAGGGTGATGTATCCTCTGATTATAAGAAAGAAAGATGTAAATTAGGTCAATGTGATCACAAAAGACGAGTTGGAAAAATAGCGTTCAATAACAGCCACCTCTTGTGGAGGGATCCATGCAGGAGGGCTCTCATAGGAAGGAAGAAACACTACTGGCAGTTGATAATCATCGTACGGAATCTTTTGGTCCATGTTTTTCGAGCTAGAATTGAGGGTGCGAGAAAAACGGTGAAATTATGATCCTCAATCGTCCTCGATATATTTTAAGTGTAAGGCTTCTTTTTTTATTTTTAAATACTAAATGATTTACAAAACTGTGAATATAGTGATAGCTAAAGCATGAAATGACCAAAGATTTATAATTGGGTGTAGATGCACACTCTACGGTTCTCATTGTACAGTGAGTACAGCAGGCTAGCTTGCTAACACTCAACAGTAAACACAAGATGCGCTGCACAATGAGCCGTAGCCATACAAATTATCAAAACGCTGCGCGAATAAACTGACGTTACAAATATGCTCATACTAAAATGAAAGACAGGCAATATATACAGCTGCTTTTTGCGACAGTTTTGTTTTTGTCCGTCAACTCACCAAGAACTCCTCGAGCGAACCATTAGCCCCGCCCTTCTACAGATCATGTGACCAGCACTTTTTTTTCTTTATCCTCAACAATAACTATGGAGAGTTAAAGAAAATATTGATATTGGGACAGTTTCACGCATTTTTTTCCCGAAATACCTTTCAAACTCTGTAAATGTGGCCTCTCGTTCACTTTTCTGACAAGTCCCCCTTCCGTTGCTCAATTTCAAGATCATCCTATCATGATTTGTTTTTAGTTTCTGGGGGTCGGCTATGTTTCTTTCCGTTTAATAAAAAAAGACTTGAAGGATGTGTTCAGTAGCGTTTTGTAGGCAAGACGTTCAGGTATGTGCCTAAATCAGGCTTTCAAATATTAACCTACTCCGAAAAAAGCAACAAAAAAAACAAAAAAAAAAAAAAAAAGAAAAAGAAAAAAAAAAAAAAAAAAAAAAAAAAGCAAAAACAGAAACAGTAGCAAAAACAGAAGCAGTGGCTTCGGTTTATCAGCTTATACTGTAAATGTACTGTAGAAACGAGAAATAATTAACTAGGTTAAGTGACACTGGCAATCACCTAATACTTCAACTGAAAATAAACATTTGTTCTTTTTGTCCTTATACTCTGCTTGGAAAGACTTGAATGTCACATTTTGATAAAACAGTACATTAAGAAATATACAATATCTTGTTACAGCCTACTTTGAAGGTCCATGCTTATTTAAAAACGAAAAATCCAAAATCTAAATCTTCACACTTTATAAATATAACATTTACATTACATTTTATTTACATTACTGGCCTCAAGAGCAATAGGCTATGGAAACTCTTTATGTAACACAGAACTTTATCTGTAATTTAGTATAAACTATATATATATATTTTTATTTCATTCGAATCAATTTATTTAAATTAAATTTTTTGTCGTTTTTTCCCTCATTACTTCTGATTTTGTATTTGCTCCTTAGGCTATACATGTTTATGTAGGCTATACATTTTAGCGATTTTTTTTATGCGAATGTAAATAAAGAGGGAAAAAGGAGAGCACGTATGGGCAGAGATCTTATTATATAAATCATATTATATTAATTTTCTATAAATGGTAAATTATTATATGTTTTATTAGCCCCATGTAGGCTATATTATTATTACATTAAAACATTGGTAAGATTATACCAGAGGCTCTTTTTTTCCTTTAACTAAAAACTTAATCCAGGTGCTCTTTTTTATTATTAACCAGAACAAAATATACAACAGTATACAGAAATGTAGCCTAGGCTACATAAAATTTAAGGACACCAGAGTGTACAAAGCATTGATTTATTAATCAAAAACGGTAAATTTGTGAAAATTTGTCTTCTTTGCTTTTTTATTAACAATACTCTCCAAACTGGTGCAGTAGTCCTCCTGAAGATAATGCATGAAATTTGGCTTTGATCCTGATTCCTGACCATTTCTTCTATGTATGTGAAATTTTCCCCAAATAATAAAAAGTTGTAAGAGACAAGTAACGTTATTATTATTACTTTCATTGGAATGATGCATACACATATCAAAATTGTTTAACTTGAAAATAATATTTGTTTTCATTCGAATGAAATTTCCCATATCCACCAAAAAATCTGATCAGATCAGAAAATCAGAAACAGATGGACAATAGACTCCTTTTCCATTGAACAAAAATCACAGGAATAATTAATATCCAAATTAAATCTCTCTAACACACTTTTAGCTGGATATATACCATGTACAATTTTAAATGTAACCTCTTTTACTTTATTATTTAAACATTTACAAATACGCAAATATACCAGGTGCTCTGGTTTGACGTGATGACGGTGCACTTTGCTTTCACAGCTGTTTGTGTAAGCAAGATATAATGCATTTACAGTCGCTGTATTATATTATTGGAGAGTATGTATGTGTCAGGCATCTCTTGCTTTTAACAAATTGAAATGGTTACACTTTTAAGGTTCCCAATTATCCGAAAACTCTTTGATTGCATCTCTCTGAGTGAGTGCCCTCTGCTGAACACGTGTGGAGCTGCATTGGTGCTGGTCTATGCATACAAAACTGCAAGGAATGAGAAGCTCGCTCATTCATTGTTAACGCCTCATTGATACTCAGTCCACGGGATTTAAGTCTCAGCATGAGTTCGAGTGCACAGACTGCCGAGAAGTGCTGAAGTTTGAGAATCTGACTGGGACTTCAATATCAAATGTTACTTTTTAAGCAAGGTAAGGTGCCAACTGAAAAATCAGTTCGCTCTCTCGGGCTAGATCTGTTCTGATCTAATATTACTGAAAGGCGTGCGAGCTGAATATCGTCCGGTGTACGTGTCATTACAGGTGCTAATAGCATCCTGATAGGAAAACCCCCGATGAATTAGGTAAGCCATGCTACCACTAACAATGCACATTTTTACAAAAACAAAAGTTCAGAATTTTTGCAAATCACGGATTATCATGAGGTTTAAGGGAAAACCGTTTATGTTAAATGTTTACGTGGATTTAGAAATGATTTTAAAAATTAGAAGTTATAGGCTGTTGCAGATTTGCTGAGAAATGTGTCTCTGTGAGGTCGTTGTGTTAAACTAAATTGAACCTTAACAATATTTTAGTACCCTCGGGTTAAAAAATGACACAAAAATGTCCCATGATGTCACTGAACTGCAGATCAAGATCTGAGGTTGCATGTGAATTAGCTGGGTTGAAATCTCTCGCAGTCAACATGATAATACTTAAATGCTTTCATAAAGAAAGTGTGACATCAGAAAGATGAGGCAGTTCATGTGTTTTTTGAAATATTGTATGTTCTATGAAAATGCATGGGCAAATACTTTTGTATCACAGTCTATAGTTTAAGTTTAATGAAGAAAGTGAAATTCAGAGGTTCCATGAAAATTATCATCAAATGGTTACTTTTACTTCACAACAAGTCACATGCACTGTGCTCTACAACATGTGCATTGACTTGGCCCTTTGATTTATGTGTGGTTTTACATACAGTTTTGCATAGTCTGCTTTTATTTTCCTTTCTAAATAACCATATTTATGTTTTTCCAAATTAACATTTCTTGAAATAAAAACATTCCTATACTTCTGAAATGCTTCAATAAAAGTGGTACCTACATGTGTGATGAGTTAAATAGCCTATTACAGTTTTCAAAAGTGTGATGTTTGTTTTTGCGGCACTTTTCATCAGTCAAAGTTTTGCTTTCTAATAGTATGAACACATACAGTGAAAGCCTGATGATGGAGTGGATTTACTGAAGTTGTAATGCTATTGATGTGCTTCTGTGTTTTACTAAGTTCACAATGTCTGTGAAAATAATGCATAGTTTGTCTACATGCAAACCTGATTTCTTTTTTGACCCTATTTAAAATGGGGTATAGATTCTTTTGGAAGTCTGCGCAGGGGTAAAAACATTGTGTCTTCAGGCTGCCAACTTAAATGTTTTTCCTTTCTTGTGCTTCTATTGCAAAATATTTTAATAGAAAGTTTGTTCTTTGTAAAAGAAGCCTTTCCAGATATTATTTTCTCAACAGAATTATCGACTGGCTGTTGATTAAGTTAGAAAAACAAATGTTATTTACAGTGTGTAGCACTCATATCTGTTGACCCTGTTGAACATAATTTATTTGTAATGATATGGCTCAGTTTTTGAGATCAGAAAAATAGCTTCTTCTGCAAAATCTGGGTGCCAGCTCCTCTGGAACTCTCTTTGTTTGGCTTAGCAGTCCTACATGTTTCAAATATATTTTAATAATTTTTATAAAGCATTTATACATTTATTTTATTGGTCCCTAATCAATGAACATACACCCAAGAGAAAATTCATGAAATGTTGCTATAGGTGTTTTAGAAAGTAAGAAATGTTTTTGCACGACCCTTTAAATAATAATAATAATTCCTAGAGATCAATTCATACGGAAAGAAAAGACCCCTTAAAAACAAATCCAAACTCGGGCTATAAACATGACAAAGGAGCAGTTGGTGTGATGTTGAGAAAATGTCATCCTTTATAAAAACCGTCCTGCATTGGACTAATTAGTGTCGTACAACCTGTTGAATTAGGACGATGGCTTAAGGCCAGCAGGCCATTTATTCATAAATATGAGCTGCAGTTGACAAAGTACTTGTTGTCTGACCTGAAATGGTGAGTTAAGTGACTTATTAAAAGTGCTGCCATACCTGTCTGCAGAGCCAGAACATCCACTTGACAGGTTTCCTTTCTTCTTTGTCAAGTCTGAAGAACACATTTCGCCCCAGGTTTTTGTGAAGTGTGTCACCGTTAACAAAAAATGCTATGTTCTTTAAAAGAAACTGCTGTACACAGCAATGGTTACAATGTGTGATGGTACTTTCAAATTTCAAGTAGACTGTCATGCTTTTAGATAGGTGTGTATCCTTCATGCTGGAATATGACAAGATGCGCATTAAATATCGCATGCGATTTATCGTGCAGCCCTAGTTCCCAAGTACTTGCATTGGGGATGTTTAGTTATGGCTGACATAACATCACCTTCCACCGCCAGCACAGGCTTTTTGATAATGTAACTTTTACACACTAGTGGTGTTTACCTGGCTGACAGACCGTATAACACATTGAAGAGTGAATATCTTGAGCTTTAAAATGATCATTTTATACTTTTATATTTATACATTTATGATAATTGCATTGATAGGTTTGCTGAGTGAAGATTTGTTAAATCAAGATCTGGTGACAAGAAGTGTTATTGTCAGCTTTCCTTTTACAAAACAAAGAAATTTGGCCATTATTGAGGCTTTGTAGACATTTGAGAAGCACTAATGGACATATTGTGTCTCTTATGCTTAGCAAAGCTGCATTTATTTGATCCAAAAGACCTTTTTCTCCTTCGGCTGCTCTCGTTAGGGGTTGCCACTGCAGAATTATCCACACAAATTTAACTAATTTCTAATTTAATATATTTTAATTATTTATTCCTGTGTCCAGCATTGAACCTGGAAAACTTAAAAAAAAAAAAAAAAACATTTTACCTCCATGGGAAGAAAGTCTTCATAACATTGCGGATTGTATTTCATGTTATGCACAACCTGTCAAAACAGGGGCAAGGCCTTTTTACTTGCTCAGAATAAGCTTTAATATCTCATGTCAGTTGTTCATACAATTTACAGTAAGACACTCAAATTACTGTTCCATCAGGCAACATTTGATTATAGGATGTAGTAAAACAGGTTATATTTTAATACATATTTATAATTTACACAACAGTAGCAGTTAACTTGAGTTGGGAAAGAACATTCTGTCCTTTTATTAGAAATGAGTGATTGATATGAGATCTTTCCCACAGGTTGTCTTGTAGTTTTCTGCTTCAGGGCTTTTGAAAGCATTGACACTCCTCCATAATTAAATGTAACCTTTCCATACCTGCTGTGTCTTGTGACTGGAGTCACATCGCCTATATTTTTCTCTCTCTCACCCTAATTCAAGGACTTTTAACTAACTAGACCAGGCATTGTGAGCTCAGTTCTGTTTTGAGCAAAACGAACAGGTTTCCTTGCATAACCACCATCTTGTATTCTCTTCCCTCCTACTAGTTTCAGGTGTGAAGAAGTGAGTCGTTCCATATCAAACACCTGCAGTATAAATGAGTTAACCTCACTACGTACCGGACGAGACCCCCATTCATCTGCATACATTCAGCTGGAATCATTTGACGCGGAAAAAACACGATGCTCTCGATCTCCCGATCCTGCCTCAGAGGAATCTACAGCTGTCATTGGAACAGTCAAAATAGAAGACCAAACGTGGGATTTTATTCATACACTTTGCATTTTTAATCACATTTTTCCACATTGGAAAATGAAGTTGCACATCAATGATGTACCCGTTATCTCTTAGAATCTGCAGACAATCAGTTGAGAGAGGCGGAATAGTTTACCATGTCTAATAAATGTAGAAAAGAATCAAAGAAAATTGTTGTCATTGAATGCCTCCTTAATGAACAATTATCATGTAAATGCTCTTTCCTTTTAAGTGAGTACAAAGCTGTGAAGACTGATGATCATGACAGGCAGAAAAGTATGTTAATTAGTAGCCTGAATACAAAAGCAAGGCTCTGAATTCTTTTGATTTGTGTCAGAAACAATTACCGCTGCATTAAGAGATTTCGTAAACCCTGTGTGGGATGGACTCGTAATAATCGTAATAATTATAGTAACCACTCAGATTGGAGATTGGCCTCACTTTTGAATATTCGGATCAGTAGGCGAAACTCAACATGAGAAGGCGATGGCTGTGTGCCAATTCCCCCCCCCATCCCCCCCCAATTGACCCATTTGTGGTTAACCTATGACTTTAAATCATCACACGCACAAAGGTGGAGCAGTGAGGGAAAGTTATGAATACACTTTTTCTTCTTTTTAGTGCTGATGCATTTGTTAGTGTCAGTAAATATGACAAAGAGAAGACCTGACTGAAAAAGAAAAGAGATGTTTGAAGTGTGCATTCTTGCTTTGTTTATATATAGAGGGCTTGCTGCTGGCTCTCCTTTCTGTCTTTTGTGTCCATACTTGCCCTGAGTTGGATGTACGTTTGTTTCATTGCCTTCAACGACCACAATGATGTAAACTGGTGAGCACATAAACACAATTACACGCATGATAATTATATGACCACATTGTAAATCCATTGGCCCAGTGTTTCCAAGTTTACATGTAATACATGGTTGTGTCATTCTGCCATATTGCTTCATTTTCTTCATGCAGGCATGCCTTCAGAACATTAAAAAAATGGGTGAACTGGTACATGATAGTGATGGTCGTTTCTGCCGTGCTGGCCACATACTGCCTCCTTCTACTGGTAAGAAGAGAGAATGTGATCCAGCTGGTTGTATGGTTGTATGGCTGGTAGCATGTAATGGTTGTACCAATGAGTTCATTCTTTTATTTCAGGTATTTGGATTGCTACACTTAGCAGTCAGAGAGCCCTTGGATTTACACTGGCTGCATAAGGTACTCTTTACCCTTTCAACTTGAAATTGCATTGAGACTTTTTAAAATTAATTTATTTTTAAATAATTTTCAAAATGTATTTTTGCTACTACTTAAATGCCTTTTATGTATAGATTATTTTATGTATAGCAGTGGTATGGTATATACAATTTTATATTTATATTTTATATTTTTACATTAACATTGTAATCAATATTCTATTTATTAATGCCAAGTATGAATCTACTATGTTTTTAAGCATTTTACATTCATTCCAAAATAATAACTCAAGGCAGTAACAATTTAAGCAATATATTTTATTTGTGAACTCATGTTCAGCTATTCTTTTTAATAGTTAACTTGTTAACTATTAAACAGTCAAACTGTTTTTGAATTTTTCGGATCATCAGTCATCAAAGCTCAGTAAATATTGGTCACAGTCATGGAGATTTACTGTAAATTTCACCAACCTGGTTTCTCACTAAAAACTCACACAGATCATGTTTTCAGGCCATTTAAGTCTTATTTTGACGTAACAAAGTGGTTATATCGAAGTGTGTGAGTTGTTTACTTACACACGGGAGGCGGGACTTATCGCATGAACAATCACAGCCGATCATAACCAGTCATATCCAATCATATCGTGATGGAGGCATTGCCTCCTCTCACATGACTTTCACAAAACTCACCGCACGCTTTAGTAGGTCTGTTAAAACTCAATGGGCTCAGGGGAGGCGAGAGAGACCTGCTGTTGGACAATGTTTCTTTGGAAAAACGAGTGATTTATACACTTTTTAATGTTATATTTTGTAATATTGTCATTGTTTCATTTTTGTACTACGAATTTTGTTCTCATCCAATATTTTGAGGAGGCATGCCTCCCTTGCCTCCTCGGAGGAAACGCCCCTGTCCCAGACACAGGCTGTCCATCTTAAAGTCAATTATGAAAATATAATTAAAACAATCATTTTAAAACGATGAAAACCCAAAAATCAAGTTTTAATATTTTCATATAAAATTTTAAATTTTTTAACACAAGTATGGCTGTTCCACAACTCATTTTCACCACAGTGAAAACAATTTTGCCCATAATAAATTTATTTGAAAAGTTAATTGTTAAGCTTAATGTTATGTAAATGTATGCATAAGGATACATAAAAAGCTGACTATAAAATTAGCTTTAAAAAGACCTCAGTCTCATATTGGGTACCTTTAAAACTTTGGTAACAATTTATATCATTTTTAGTCATAGTGCATAAAGGAAGAAAGTTCACAGCTTGTTAATGAATGATCTCGGTATGTTAATAATTCTCTGTTCTCTGTACAGGTGTTTCTGTTTTTGGGTCTGCTCACTGTTACTTTAGGCACAGCTGGATTTTGTAAAGAATGGATAGAGGAGTGGCAAACTGTCTATATGTCATTTCAGGTAAGAAGCCGAAACCAGCCTTCAACCATTCATCATTTCAGTATTGGTACATTGTCTTTCTTTTATGTCTTTGCAGCTGGTTCTCATTGTATTTCCTGTTAGCTTATCTAGACTAAATGGCAGTGTGATATTTTACACCAATAGCAAGCATATACCTCAGCTTAATGTTATATTATACTGTATTTATCACAAAAATGTCACTCAGGTGTCCATATCTCCAGTTACACCACTATTGTTGTACTGTACAGTGTATTAAAATCCGCTCTTTTGTTTCCCATAGGCCACTGCTCCTTTCCTGCAGCTGGGTGCTGTGGTGGCTTTGACCTTGATCAGTTGGCTGGTGTTCCAGAGTCATCATACAGCTCAAACAGCTGGTCAGTGTCTCCAAAACAGCTTATAGTACCTTAAAGTTGAACATTTTCTGACTGTACATTATCTTGCTTATTACATTGCTATTCACCAAACAGATAAAAACTTTTTGACCTGTATATTATCTTAAAGCTTACTCTAAAAATTACAATGTACAAAAACATTCAGCTTATTACAGCAATATTATATTATATATGATGTACTCTTATAATATTAATACTTAAAGTCTGCATGAATCGCAGATCTTCCCTATTGTGACGTGTATATATATGAGTGAAACAGATTTTCAAATGAGAAAAATTGCAGGTTGGGACTTGATTTTGTTCATCAGGAACTGATCAGATCACAATTAATGTTTTTGACTGAGAATGTACTTTACAACTTGAATATTACCAGTCTATGTAAATGTGAAAGTTAGCACCAGTGATGCCTTTAATAATGCTTTATTTCAACAATTATGTCAGTGTTTGTACTGAGTGTCTGAATATTGTTATGTCTTTGTCTGTGTAGCTAGTAAGGTTTTTATAATGCTGACCTTCCTGGTAGTGTCCGCTGCTGTGCTCCTGTGTCCTCTTGCAATCTGCTCTCCATGCATTGCCAATAATCTTCCCCCAAAACCTGCCCTCGTCGGACATCGCGGTGCTCCAATGGTAAGCGTTAACGCCTAAGTTGTAACTTTCCTTTTGACATTCCTTCCCTTTGTTAAAAAGTGTTTACACTGGCGTGCCCATCAAAATCTTGTTTTTGCTGTTTGTTCCTGTTATTGCTGAATTGCATGAGGATTTTAACGTTATTTTATTAGAATAAATTTGACATGCCACAAAGATGAATCATCTGCTGTAGCTTCTGAATCCGTTTAGGATTATGATGATTATGGCATCGTTCCCAGGTTGTAAGCTATCAACTTGGGGGAATGTAATTCATTAGCATGTCAGTCTGCTCAGATTTGTCAAACATTAGCATTTTATAGATACAATAATCACAGTGAAAACATTTACAGTTCTTACAAAACATCCAGAAATACCATTTGAATAACTGACTATCTACAATTCATATACAACCTGTTAAATTTCAATGGCAGGGAGGGTGGAGGAGGTGTTTTGACATCTGAAGCTCTGTATGTTTGATCTCCCAGCGCTCCCCAGGAGACTTAAGGTTAACTGAATAAAAACAGAGGCGTGTGAAGAACACAGATGTTACAGCTTTTGAATTTTGTTTTGTTCACAACCAGTATGGTATTAAGCGCTATACAAATAAAGGTGACCTGACTTGACTGGACTTTAAATAGGATATGGAACCCTGAACATATTTATGTAGTTAGTAAAATAATGGTCTCTGGCAAAAAAGTGATTTTTTTTTAATTATATTGTTTTTTTCCCCTGTGGTAACAAGCCCAGAACTTATAATTAAGAACACATATTGTTAATAAGTAAAATAATGAAATCATATGCTGTGATAGCACAGAAAATCACAACTTTTATCTTATTTTGTGTATATACTATGTACTACATGTATATAATTGTTTTATAATATATGTTAATTATGTATTTAGCTGGCACCAGAAAACACCATGATGTCATTCAGGAAGAGTATGGAGTGTGGCGTTGTGGCATTTGAAACAGATGTGCAACTCAGGTAACAGATTATGCCGAAACACTAGACAATTGCTTCTATTTGTGTGTGAGACACACACACACACACACACACACACACACACATTATAATCCTCTTGTCTATCATTTTTTTCAGTAAGGACATGAAGCCTTTTCTTATGCATGACAATGGTCCAAGTTTTCTGCTACGAACAACTGATGTGAAGGAGAAATTTCTAGGTCGAGATGCCGACATGCATGCTAACTTCACTTTGCAAGAGTTACAGACTTTAAATGCAGGCGAATGGTTTGTAAGGGTAAGGACAAAGAATTATTTTTGGAATTTTATTTGTAATTATTTTATGTATTTATTTATAGTTTATTACATTTAAGTTTTCCATTCTCTATAGCTTATATATAGTCCAACAAATTTGATGCATTTTGATGCAATTTCTGTTATACAACAATAGATAAATTCAGTATCATATAATATATTATATATTCGTAACATCTGTATTTTATTTGACAGTAATTCCTTTTATGCAACAGTAGAATAGAAATACAAATGTAAAATACATTGAAATTTAACAATTGGCAATAACACTTATTACACATATAATAACATTATATTATATTATATTATGAAATTGTTGACAGCTTGTGCAGTTGCACAATGCAAACTAGATCAAGCTGCACAAGTTCTTCATATCTCACAGGCAACATGAGAAGGAGTATCTGTTGATTAGAGCAAACAACCTTGAACTAAACTGAGGTTGCAGCTTTATCCAGTATGAGCGGATATTGAGCAGAAAACAAAAAATTCTTCCACTTTGCATTTGATGTTCAGATGTTCTTAGTCCTTCAGCACTGTGATGTCAAAATGACAAATTTGTTTAAAATGAGATCTTTTGATTTTTAAATACAGACAGATCCATTTCAGTCAGTTTCATCGCTCTCAAAGGAAGAGAAGAGGGAGGCTAACAACCAGACTGTACCGTCTCTTTCTGATCTCTTAGTCATGGCCAAAAAGTATAATGTCTCTCTCATATTTGACCTAAAAAATGAGAAAAACTCGACAGGATTCCACAACAGCGACTCCTACTACACCGCTGAAACGATAGAAAAATCAGGCATCTCACCGGACAAGGTAATATTATACGGTGGGATCCAAAAGTCTTTAAATTTAATAGTTACATTTTCAGAAGTTTCTTAGTATGCCCCTTTTTCTTTTTCTTTTTTCCCTTTGTTTTAAATGTCAGAATCCTAAAACATTTTGTTTTTAGCAGTGTTATTTTAGTATTATTTACAGTATATACTATTGTAGTATTAATATTTTGAATTAGCTTTTATTTTTATATTTTCAGTTTTCATTTTTTTCAAGTTTAGCATAAGTTATGTACTTTTTCACTTTTATTATTATTATTATTATTATTATTGTTTTTTTTTAATATTTCTATTTACCTTTTTTGTTACATTATTTAATTTTTGTTAAAGTGTTTGAGTTTAATGTTACAATGTTATATGCCCTAGAAAAAAGCATGGCTTTTCTTAATGTTAGATGTCTTTATAAAAATCTTTTTTGCATCATTAAATATCATTTTAATATTGTGTATCACTTTCAGATATGGTGGCTTCCTCCAGAATATAGACACGATGTAAGAAAAGTTACACCAGGCTTAAAGCAGGTGTATAATAATGTACAAGAAATGTATGCAGATGGTGGAAGCTTCCTGAACATGAAATATAGTTTTCTAAGCACACTTGAAATAAGGTAAGTGTAGGAGGATTGGTGCATTTTAATTGACATGCAGAGACACGATGCTGCTGTCATTAATGTTGGTATGATCTAACAGCCTTAGGGAACGTTCTCACAGGGTTCTATTTTCTTACAAAGATGACAGAAATGCTATGAAAAATGATGTGCCTATCTGTAGTTTAAACTTAAACTAATGTATCTTCTAATGATTATAGTAGCAGGAATGCTGAGTGACCAAAATTCAACACATGATGATTAATGAAACCTTTTCCAGACACTATTGTGTCCGGTTGGGTGCACCTGTCATTTTATAATTTTACCTGACAGTAAAGATGAAGAAAGAATACAATTAAACAAGAAAATCTTGACTGATGAATAAGACTGCATGTTAAAACGGTCCTGCCACTCCTGTCTTTTATGCAGAGAAAACTGGCTTGTTGCGACCTGTCTAAAGGTCGCTGATTCTGAGCCAAAAACAAGTAAACAGAAGGATGATTTGAGACTGTTTTTTATTTTAACTTTTTTTTTTTTTTTCACGACAGTGAGCTGCGGAAAAATAATGTGTCCGTGAATCTGTGGGTTGTGAATGAGCGCTGGCTCTTCTCATTACTGTGGTGCTCCGGGGCCAGTTCAGTGACCACCAATGCTTGTCACATCCTCAAAAGCATGTCTAAGCCTGACTGGCATCTGGTAAAGCTCAGCCTATCTTTTCACCTATCCATGTCTATTCTGCCATAAATGAGATGTTCTCTATTTCTAATTCACGTGGGCTTGTCTGAATATGTAACTCCTCTGGAATCCTTTGTGTGTTTGTGTATCTCTCTTTGCACATAACAATGAAAGGAGCCTAATATGTACATGGGAATATGGATCTCGGCTGACGTGATGTCATTGCTGTTGATGTTTGGCCTGTTTCTTTGGCAAAGGTAAGCAATGAATCTCAGCACATACTGTATAATGCTGTTAAATTGATTAAATCAATTTTTTATGGAAATTTTTAATAATCTAAAACTTTTAATTGTATTTTGTAATAATTTTTGTAATAATAGTGTTTAACAGAATTTCTCTTTTTAACTTTCCCATTTATAATACATTTATAAAATGTGTTAAAATTGTTAAACCAGAAACAATTGATTATTTTATACATTATTATTGTATAATTTGTATACAATATTGTAATATTTTGTATATTTTATAAATTTAATGTTGATTAAATTGCATGCGTGTGGGGACAATTTATTTTTAATATAAATCTAAATTTATTGTGTATTATAAACGGTAGGCTAAGTAAAATTTATTGCAAGCAAGCTGGTGTTACCAATTCTAAAGGTTCTGTCAGGACCACTATCGTCAAAGATGATTGACAATTAGCATACAGTTTGGATTGGCGGTATGGTTCTGTTCTGGGCAAGAACTCCCTGCGCATCCATGCAGCCTAGCATGGATGAGAGCAGGGAGAGCAGCAATAACCCCCCAGGGTAAACAGAACAGACCCAACATAAATGTATTGCAGATATCGTTAAAGTTCAATAATTTTATGTACACATTTTAGAATTAGTCTGATTCAAAGGAGAATCAGAAGGCTGAATCCTGACTGACAGAGGAGGAGCTGGGGATGGAGGAGGGTAATTAGCTATTGAGCAATGCGAAAACTGCTGATAATAATACTGAGAGACCTTATATATGAATGCTTAGATAGGTGTCGTATTTCCATAGGTTGATGGGGATCAGCTGAGAGTCAGCTGATGCGAGCTTGACTAACGTGACCTGCCAGAACTAACGCTACGCTAGATTTATCCAACATTAATTCCCAAGAACTGAAAACGTTCATCACACATAATGTCAAAATTCGTACGGCCACACAAAATCCCAAAAAATCCAATCCAACTCGAATTGTTGATCATGGCTATGACTAATTATTTATTTCAGGACCTATAGTTTTAAGATGGATGACATGTATTTTGAATTCATTTAGTAAAAGTAGTCAAAAGTGCCACTAGTTAAAGGGTCACTCAAATAATGTTGATGGAGTGAGATTATAATGGACATTTTTCTCTTTGTTTGTGAACAGGAGGAGGAACCATGTTTTTCATCAAAATACAAGTGAGAGAAGTGTCCCCCTGCTTCCTCGCTGAATGATGCCATCTTTATCATGAGAGGACATATCCTTGTTTCACTTTTTGAAGGACTGTATGTGGGCATCATAAGAAAATCACGTCATATAAAATGTGTCATGCAGTAAATTCACATTTGTGCTTTTAATGTAGAATGCATATACAAGACATTGTTTGATATGAGAATTTATATATTTGATGAAATTTCCTCATTAGGGCAGCATGTTGTGTGCCACCCCTTTACATGCAGTGCTGCCAACCCCTTGACAAAGCTATGTCATTTCAGCCATTTGTTTGAGCCAACTTTTCATTTAAATGACAATACTTTTTACAGGGGTTGTTTACTTATGTGACACTTTGCAAGACATTTTTGTAAGAAAGACTTTAAAATGTTGGACCCACTTTTTTGTGTCTACTATGTACTTCATTTAATTTAATCATTTGATACAATGCACATATAGTGTTTCTGTAGTTACATCTACTGTATGATTACACTATTGACCTTACTGCTTAACCCACCCGTAAACCTAACTATACCACCAAACCCGTCCTGAACCTTAACTGTATCCAGTGTCAATAGCAGAAAAAGTGTTTTGCAATACAACAAGAAGTCAAGTAATCAAAAGACACATAATGTTGGATTAAAATGTTTATATAGATATGTAAATATTTTTTATTGTTATTTTTATAGATTTTTTTTAATTGATATTTTGGTAAATGGGCATTCAAGACAAATTCAGAAAAAGTTGGTTTAAGTATAACTTTATTGTGTGTACATTTTGAAATGCATGGGAGATCAAGGAAATAAGAACTGGCTGGTACAAGGTTCATTTTGAAGTTGGATTAAAATGTTTATATAGATATGTAAATATTTTTTATTGTTATTTTTATAGATTTTTTTTAATTGATATTTTGGTAAATGGGCATTCAAGACAAATTCAGAAAAAGTTGGTTTAAGTATAACTGTATTGTGTGTACATTTTGAAATGCATGGGAGATCAAGGAAATAAGAACTGGCTGGTACAAGGTTCATTTTGGGCTCATAATATTTGGGTGTTGCCACAAAACTGAATGTTTGATTTTTTTTGACCCACACTGATTCTATAAAGACATCTATGAAAAGTTATGAAAATTATTTGGAAAGAACTAGTTTATAAATGTTAGAGATGGGAGGCATTTTTAATTTGTTGTACAATTTAGATGCCTGTGATTAATTATGCTGTCCGACTAACATCATTTAATGCTAATATGATAATTATGAATGTATTATTAATTTTCACAACTTTTACCATCTTTTAAATAACCATTAGGGAAATTTTAGATGTTGTTTTGCTTCTTAAAGTGCCCATTTATACCCATTATGCCATCCATACATTCAGGACTGGAGGAACAAAATATAATATTTCAAGAATCAGTAATTGAAAATCCCATATCGATTGAACAATTACTTTGTTCGAGCAATTAACAATTACAAGCTATTGTTATAGATATTACACGTAGTCCTGAATATGTGGATGACAACAGGTATAAACAGGCACTTTGGGGAGCTAAACAACTAAAGGCTCCCTATTGGTTATTTGTAAAAGATTGTAAAAAGTTGTGAAAATTTAATAATATATACTAAATTTTTATATTAAGCATAAACTACTATCTGGCAAATTTGTGGTGTTAGTTTGGTTTAAAATAAACTTTTCCACCTTTTCCGTTGGTTGCTTCCCTCTAAAAACTGTAGTCTTGAGCACAAGTGCGCGACATAACTCCAGTCAGTCCAGTCCAGTCAGTTATTAATAATAATAATAATAATTTTATAAGGAAATATTTTGGGCTACTTTATACTTATACTTGGTTTTTAATGTGAATTCCTTCTATAAAACTGAGAGAAGCTGTTGTTGTTTCGTAATTAAATCTTTCTGTTTGTATAATGAAATGTAATAGAGCAAAAGAAGTAATGTCAGATTTCAAGTGTCTAGCATGGTGCAAAGCCTTTTCAGAATTAGCCATACATCTAAAAATGTCTTCAGACTGTCAAAAGGAGAATGTAATGGAGGGAAGGCATTAAAATGAGTAGGAGTTGTACTGAAATAGAAATGATGGTCTTCTCTTTTATTTCAGATACTAAAAGAGCAGTTGGACTACTGAAACAGTACCAGGCAAGTCTGACCAGCCCAGAAGAGCAGGCCCTGAAGACCAGCGTGGAAAAGGTCTCTTCCATCTTTGGCAGTCATCTTTTTCAGGCTCTGCTGGGTGAGGTTTGTTTCTGTGTAAACTCTAATGGCTCTCAAAACAAATAATGATTAACTGTCATTATTTAGGGCCGTACCACTTGATTTCAGTACGTTCTATACTAAGCAAAATGTTCCATGAAGCAGTGTTACAGTTTGTTCAGCTTTACTAACCACTGCTGATATTTTTCTAAATGGTACATTTTGTTTTTTCGTACATGGACCAGCTGCTTTACATTAACAATGGCTTTAGGATATAATAGTTTCACCTAATAAACTAACATTACTGACACTACCTTACAAATTAACTTGCAACTTTCTGTGAGTTTTACGAGTTAACTTATTTTGTACATGAGAAAACTGACCCATTGGAACTTGCTCATCAATTACACTCATTTACATTATCCAAGTTTTGATTTATTGGATTAAGGCACATGAATAGGTTCTTTCTTTCAGAATAAAAACAAAAGGTTGTCTGTTTTTAAAATGAAATCTTACTAAATGGGTCCTCACTGCCGTCTCTAATGGCTTGATCTTTTGCATGGATTTGAGACTTTTGAGGCCACTGTTCTCAAGTTACACAATGAGTCAGACTTTCACAACCCCAGCTGATTTATCAGTACTGTGTATGTGTTCTGTCACATTTTAATGATGTCTCACAACAGCCAGAATAAGAAAACATATAAGTAACAATAGATATCACTGTCATGCCAGATGCGTCTAACAAAAATAAGACATTTTAGATAAAAGGCATTTGGAGTCTGTTAAAGGCATTTACCTTTTATTATGATGCCACTGGTGTTACAGTAAGTGTCAGTCACTTAAATATTCCTATTTATTTTTGTCATAGTGGTAAGCTTTGTGATTTAGGGCTAAAGGGCTGCCATTGGCATTTAGGTATATATACTTTTTTGTGCCTCTAATAAAGCTGTTTGACTACAGCAGGCCAAACAGATGTTGCAAATGCTCTCTTTTATCACACTTTGAATCAGTCACGAGAGTCTCAGTTCGAAACTGGCATAGCACAGTAAGCGGATAAGGATTCCACACATTCCAGAAAGAGGCTGGATCGTTAGCGGGAATGTGGGATAACATGTAGGTAGATTGATAAACAAACAGTTCTTGGCCGCAGTGAAGTACTCCCATCTGACCTCAGGCCAGATTAAGCCGAGAGTATCGCTTTGTGCAGGACGGCCCATTCTCTCTCTCAGGTACAGAGGAGAGGGGGGTCATGTGAGGTTGAGCTGAGAGCAACATGTGGTTTCAATCATCTCTCCAGCCTCTTGGGTGTTGGCCAGAGTTAAAAAATGGAATACAGTATGAATTCTAGTAAAAATTAGGCAGATTGAGGATGTATTGTCAGATGGAAAATGTTTAATATTTATATTATTTTTATATTTAAAGCTGCAGTTCGTAACTTTTGCTGGTTAAAAATGATCCGAAATCAATATTTGAGCAAGTACATAACCAGCCAGTGTTTAAAACTATCGCCTTACTTTAGCCCAATTCACAACGGTCATTTTATAATAATGTTTTCTTATTTGAGTGGTACGGGTAGGTTTTCGCGGGAAATTCGAGCATGGCACTGCGTCATTACGTCACGTCTGTAAACATAAAGAAGTTGTCCCAGCTACTAGGCTATCGCATGCGAGGATCCTGCAGGTGGCCGATCGTTTATAGCCTTTTCTCACAGCAGCCAGAATAA